ACAACTCCTAGGAATACCTATTTACTGCTAGGTGAAACAAATGTGCTGTAGAGATTTGTTGAGTAGCTGCATATACCTGCTTGACGAGTTGTGGCTTGTGCTTATCTTGAACTGTCACAATTATTGTGTACTGCTTGTGTTGTCTCTCTGGCACTAGTTGTTGTCTTGGTGGTGCTGTGGGCGGTGGGCGGTGTCCTGGTGGTGCTGTGGGCGGTGGGCGGTGTCCTGGTGGTGCTGTGGGCGGTGGGCGGTGTCCTGGTGGTGCTGTGGGTGGTGGGCGGTGGCCTGGTGGTGCTGTGGGCGGTGGGCGGTGTCCTGGTGGTGCTGTGGGCGGTGGGCGGTGTCCTGGTGGTGCTGTGGGCGGTGGGCGGTGTCCTGGTGGTGCTGTGGGCGGTGGGCGGTGTCCTGGTGGTGCTGTGGGCGGTGGGCGGTGTCCTGGTGGTGCTGTGGGCGGTGGGCGGTGTCCTGGTGGTGCTGTGGGCGGTGGCCTGGTGGTGCTGTGGGCGGTGGCCTGGTGGTGCTGTGGGCGGTGGGTGGTGGCCTGGTGGTGCTGTGGGCGGTGGGAGGTGGCCTGGTGGTGCTGTGGGCGGTGTCCTGGTGGTGCTGTGGGCGGTGGGCGGTGTCCTGGTGGTGCTGTGGGCTTTGGGCGGTGTCCTGGTGGTGCTGTGGGCGGTGTGCCTGGTGGTGCTGTGGGCGGTGGGCGGTGTCCTGGTGGTGCTGTGGGCGGTGTCCTGGTGGTGCTGTGGGCGGTGGGCGGTGTCCTGGTGGTGCTGTGGGCGGTGGGCGGTGGCCTGGTGGTGCTGTGGGCGGTGTCCTGGTGGTGCTGTGGGCGGTGGGTAGTGTCCTGGTGGTGCTGTGGGCGGTGGGCGGTGGCCTGGTGGTGCTGTGGGCGGTGGGTGGTGTCCTGGTGGTGCTGTGGGCGGTGGGCGGTGGCCTGGTGGTGCTGTGGGCGGTGTCCTGGTGGTGCTGTGGGCGGTGGGCGGTGTCCTGGTGGTGCTGTGGGCGGTGATGTGGGCGGTGGGCGGTGTCTTGGTGGTGCTGTGGGCGGTGGGCGGTGTCCTGGTGGTGCTGTGGGCGGTGGGCGGTGTCCTGGTGGTGCTGTGGGCGGTGGGCGGTGTCCTGGTGGTGCTGTGGGCGGTGTCCTGGTGGTGCTGTGGGCGGTGGGCAGTGTCCTGGTGGTGCTGTGGGCGGTGTTCTGGCGGTGCTGTGGGCGGTGGGTAGTGTCCTGGTGGTGCTGTGGGCGGTGTCCTGGTGGTTTCTGTGGGCGGTGTGCTGTGGGCGGTGTCCTGGTGGTGCTGTGGGCGGTGGGCGGTGTCCTGGTGGTGCTGTGGGCGGTGGGTGTCCTGGTTATGTAGTGGTGGTGCTGGTGGTGCTGTGGTGGCGGTGGGCGGTGTCCTGGTGGTGCTGTGGGCGGTGTCCTGGTGGTGCTGTGGGCGGTGGGCGGTGTCCTGGTGGTGCGGCGGTGGGTGGAGAGGTGGTGGTGCTGTGGTGGTGCTGTGTGGGCGGTGGGCTGGGTGGCGCTAGGTGAGGTAGCGGCTGTGGGCGGTGTCCTGGTGGTGCTGTGGGCGGTGGGCGGTGTCCTGGTGGTGCTGTGGAGCGGTGGGGTGTCCTGGTGGTGCTAGGAGAGGTGGCGGTGGTGGCGGTGGTGGGAGCTGGTGGTGGCGGCGGTGGTGGCAGCGGTGGGCGGCGACCGGTGTCCTGGTGGTGCTGTGGGCGGTGGCAAAACACCTGACGGCACCTGGCCCCAGGCGGCGGAAGCCCCGCGGGCGGTCGCGTGCGCTGGTCGTGTGCTGTGGGCGGTGGGCAGTGTCCTGGTGGTGCTGTGGGCGGTGGGTACACGCTATTGACACGCACGGTGTGGTGCTGGCGGTGGCCTGTGGTGCTGTGGGCGGTGTCCTGGTGGTGCTGTGGGCGGTGGGCCTGGTGTGCTGTGGGCGGTGGTGGTGCTGGTGGGCGGTGGGCGGTGTCCTGGTGGTGCTGTGGGCGGTGGGCGGTGTCCTGGTGGTGCTGTGGGCGGTGGGCGGTGTCCTGGTGGTGCTGTGGGCGGTGTCCTGGTGGTGCTGTCTGGTGTGGGCGGTGGGGTCCTGGTGGTGCTGGCGGTGGGCGGTGTCCTGGTGGTGCTGTGGGCGGTGTCCTGGTGGTGCTGTGGGCGGTGTCCTGGTTATTAGTGGCGGTGCTGCGTGCTGTGGTGGCGGTGGCGGTGTCGCTGGGAGTGAGGGCGGTGGTGTGGTGGCGGTGGTGGCGTCGCTGGGCGGCGCTAGGAGAGGTGGTGGCGGTGGTGGGAGCGGTGGTGGGTGGCGCTAGGAGAGGTAGCGGCGCTGGGCGGCGCTAGGAGAGGTGGTGGCGGTGGTGGGAGCGGTGGTGGGTGGCGCTAGGAGAGGTGGCGGTGGTGGCGGTGCTGGGAGCAGTGGTGGCGGCGGTGGTGGCAGCGGTGGGCGGCGACCGGTAACAACATTACCGTCGGCCGCAAAACACCTGACGCACCTGGCCCCAGGCGGCGGAAGCCCCGCGGGCGTTCGCGTGCGCTGCTCGTGCTGCTGCTGCTGCACGCACACACACACACACACACACATCTGGGTACACGCTATTGACACGCACACGCTACTGGATCACGCACACGCTCACCGGTCCGGGCATATTACTTGGTGACACGCACGCATTTCTGTCGTTCGCGTCCATCTGGAATGCACATGCTAATTGGCACGCCCACGCTTCATGCTGACGCCCACGCTACATGCTGACGCCCACGCTACATGCTGACGCCCACGCTACATGCTGACGCCAACGCTACATGCTGACGCCCACGCTACATGCTGACGCCCCACGCTACATGCTGACGCCCACGCTACATGCTGACTGACGCCCACTACCCACATGCACATGCACACACACACACACACACACACACACACACACACACACACACACACACACACACACACACACACACACACACACACACTAAAATAATAACATCAGCGGCATATACCAAACGTTTCCCAACATTTGAGTAGCCTTTAGGAACCTACTCAAGGACGCCTCATACACTACTTACTCATGATGAGAACTGGAATATGCAGAGGCTAAATTGCTCAAGTCCTGAGATTTAACATAAGGTCCAGCCCGCCAAACACACACACCGAAACTATGACGTTGGTACAAGGTTCGAACAAGTTTTAACACCTCCTAACCAGTTATAACAACCAATATAGCAAGTTGTAACAACGTTCTAATACGTCATAAACACGTTAAGCCAAGATGTAACAACTTTATTACAAGTTGTAACAAGCGGAAAATAGAGACAGTTTCGGTTTGTGTTTCAAGGGAGGGGCCAGATTCACGAAGCAGTTACGCAAGCACTTACGAACCTGTACATCTTTTCTCAATCTTTGGCGGCTTTGTTTACAATTATTAAACAGTTAATGAGCTCCGAAGCACCAGGAGGCTGTTTATAACAATAACAACAGTTGAATGACAAGTTTTCATGCTTGTAAACTGTTTAATAAATGTAACCAAAGCCGTCAAAGATTGAGGAAAGATGCACACGTTCGTAAGTGCTTACGTAACTGCTTCGTGAATCTGGCCCCTGGAATGGAAAGAAATAAAATATGAGAAATGGCTGAGGGAACTTGGCTTCACAATACTGAATAGACATAGTGAAGGGAAGACATGATCACGACATCGATGATTCTTAGAGAAAATGACAAAGCTGTTCAAAAAGATGAATGGAACAAGAAATCTTTGAATACAATTCGCTGTGTACGTATACCAGTACGCACACACGCACACACGCGCACGCACACACGCGCACGCACACACGCGCACGCACACACCGACAGGAACGAGTATAATGCTAATCATATATGTAATTGTGACGTCATTAAGAGGCATTTCCGGTGCTTAGTTCCGTGAGCGATCGTTAGGGAGAGGGAGTGAGGCGGGGAAGGTAGAGAGAGGGGGTGAGAGATGACAGTGAGAAGGGAAAGGAGAGGGATGGGTAAATGGGAGGGAGGAAGGAAGACAGAGAGGGGTAAAATGGGTGGTAAAGTAAGTTGAGGGGAAGGCAGAGGAAAGAGGAAGATGGGTATAGGTTGAGGGGAAGAGGTAAGAGATGGTGGGAAAGGAGGGAAGAGAGGGAGGGGGTGGAAAATGGAGAGGGTGGGAAGGGGGGGAAGAGAGAGAGAGAGAGAGAGAGAGAGAGAGAGAGAGAGAGAGAGAAGAGAGAGAGAGAGAGAGAGAGAGAGAGAGAGAGAGAGAGAATGGAGGAAGAAAGAGGAGGAGGAAGAGGGGAGGGGGACATAGAGGAGGGGGTGAGAGATTGGAAGGGAAGGAAGGGGAGGAGAGGGAGAGAGAGAGAGAGAGAGAGAGAGAGAGAGAGAGAGAGAGAGAGAGAGAGAGAGAGAGAGAGAGAGCGAGAGAGAGAGAGAGAGAGAGAGAGAGAGAGAGAGAGAGAGGGGGGGGGGGAGGTAGGGAGGGGGTGGGAGCGAGCGGAAGGAAGACACTGTCTTACTTTAAGGTCAGAGGTCAAAGGTCAGTCAAAGATCCTAGCGAAGTTTCGCCGGTGCGGTGATCCGTGACTGACGTATATGACCTCCTGACACTGCCACACGACCTGCACCCCCTTTGCAGCCCTCGCCTCTTGTGGCACTCTCTCGTCTCCACCCCCGAGGAGTGCCATCAACAGTGCCAGCTGCGGTCACTACCGCAAGTCCGGCCTCCCACCCGGCTCAACACCGCCTCCTGGCTACCCTCCACTTTCCCATGTATCTCCCATGTCTCTCCCATGTCCCTTCCCTCCCTGTCTACTCCCTAAACGAAACATTTGCTTGTGTGACCGTCCGCCTCCACCGGCAGGGGCGACAAGGCTTGACTCACACCTTCTGGTTTACATGTGTAATTACTGCTCACTAATTGTTACGGAGAAAACAAATTAGGAGCATTTATCTTTGCGATATCTCTACGGCATACCTTGAGTAACAGCAGTTCTGTCCCGCTCGTTCATGACGCCCCGGGCAGTGTCGGACGCCCCGGCAGTGTCGGACGACCCGGGCAGTGTCGGACGCCCCGGGCAGTGTCGGACGCCCCGGACAGTGTCGGACGCCCCGGCAGTGTCGGACGCCCCGGCAGTGTCGGACGCCCCGGGCAGTGTCGGACGCCCCGGGCAGTGTCGGACGCCCCGGGCAGTGTCGACGCGCCCCGGGCAGTGTCGGACGCCCCGGGCAGTGTCGGACGCCCCGGGCAGTGTCGGACGCCCCGGGCAGTGTCGGACGCCCCGGGCAGTGTCGGACGCCCCGGGCAGTGTCGGACGCCCCGGGCAGTGTCGGACGCCCCGGGCAGTGTCGGACGACCCGGGCAGTGTCGGACGACCCGGGCAGTGTCGACGACCCGGCAGTGTCGGACGACCCGGGCAGTGTCGGACGCCCCGGGCAGTGTCGGACGCCCCCGGCAGTGTCGGACGCCCCGGGCAGTGTCGGACGCCCCGGGCAGTGTCGGACGACCCGGCAGTGTCGGACGCCCCGGGCAGTGTCGGACGCCCCGGGCAGTGTCGGACGCCCCCGGCAGTGTCGGACGACCCGGGCAGTGTCGACGACCCGGGCAGTGTCGGACGCCCCGGCAGTGTCGGACGACCCTGGCAGTGTCGGACGACCCGGCAGTCACACACACACACACATCTGGGTACACGCTATTGCACGCACACGCTACTGGATCACGCACACGCTCACCGGTCCGGGCATATTACTTGGTGACACGCACGCATTTCTGTCGTTCGCGTCCATCTGGAATGCACATGCTAATTGGCACGCCCACGCTTCATGCTGACGCCCCACGCTACATGCTGACGCCCACGCTACATGCTGACGCCCACGCTACATGCTGACGCCAACGCTACATGCTGACGCCCACGCTACAGCTGACGCCCCACGCTACATTGCTGACGCCCACGCTACATGCTGACCACACACACACACACACACACACACACACAACACACACACACACACACACACACACACACACACACCACACACCCACACACACACTAAATAATAACATTAGCGGCATATACCAAACGTTTCCAACATTTAGTAGCCTTTAGGAACCTACTCAAGACGCCTCATACACTACTTACTCATGATGAGAACTGGAATATGCAGAGGCTAAATTGCTCAAGTCCTGAGATTTAACATAAGTCCGCCGCCCGCCAAACACACACACCGAAACTATGACGTTTGGTACAAGGTTCGAACAAGTTTTAACACCTCCTAACCAGTTTATAACAACCATAAGCAAGTTGTAACAACTTTCTAATACTCGTCATAAACACGTTAAGCCAAGATGTAACAACTTTATTACAATTGTAACAAGCGGAAATAGAGACAGTTTCGGTTGTGTTTCAAGGGAGGGCCAGATTCACGAAGCAGTTTACGCACGCACTTACGATCCTGTACATCTTTTCTCAATCTTTGGCGGCTTTGTTTACAATTATTAAACATTAATGAGCTACGAAGCACCAGGAGGCTGTTTATAACAAGAACAACAGTTGATTGGCAAGTTTTTCATGCTTGTAAACTGTTTAATAAATGTAACCAAAGCCGCCAAAGATTGAAGAAAGATGTTCAAGTTCGTAAGTGCTTGCGTAACTGCTTCGTGAATCTGACCCCTGGAATGGAAATGAATAAAAATATGAGAACTGGCTGGGGAACTTGGCTTCACAATACTGAATAGACATAGTGAAGGGAAACATGATCACTACATCGATGATTCTTAGAGAAAATGACAAGCGTGTTCAAAGATAATGGAACAAGAATCTTTGAATACAATTCGCTGTGTACGTATACCAGTACGCACACACGCGCACGCACACACGCGCACGCCACACCGACAGGAACGAGTATAATGCTATCATATATGTAATTGTGACGTCATTATAGGCTTTCCGGTGCTAGTTACCGTGAGCGATCGTTAGGGAGAGGGAGTGAGCGGGGAAGGTAGAGAGAGGGGTGAGAGATGACAGTGAGAAGGGAAAGGATAGGGATGGGTAAAAGGGAGGAAGGAAGGAAGACAGAGAGGGGTAAATGGGTGGAAAGTAGTTGAGGGAAGGCAGAGGAAGAGAAGATGGGTATAGGTTAGGGGAAGAGGTAAGAGGTGGTGGGAAAGGAGGGAAGAGAGGAGGGGGGTGAAAATGGAGAGGGTGGGAAGGGGGAAAGAGAGAGGAGAGAGAGAGAGGAGGAGAGAGAGAGAAGAGAAGAGCGAGAGAGAGAGAGAGAGAGATAGAGAGGAGAGAGAGGAGAGAGAGAGAGAATGGAGGAAGAAAGGAGGAGAGAAGAGGGGAGTGGGACATAGAGGAGGGGTTGAGAGATGGGAAGTGAGGAAGAAAGAGGGGAGAGGAGAGAGGAGAGAGAGAGAGAGAGAGAGAGAGCGAGAGAGAGAGAGAGAGAGAGAGAGAGAGAGAGAGAGAGAGAGAGAGAGAGAGATAAGAGAGAGAGAGAGAGAGAGATTGGGGGGTGGGAGGAAGGGGGGGAGGGTGTGGAGCGAGCGGAAGGAAGACAATGTCTTACTTTAAGGTCAGAGGTCAAAGGTCAGTCAAAGATCCTAGCGAAGTTTCGCCGGTGCGGTGATCCGTGACTGACTGTATGATGACCTCCTGACACTGCCACACACGACCTGGCACCCCCTTGCAGCCCTCGCCTCTTGTGGCACTCTCTCGTCTCCACCCCCGAGGAGTGCCATCAACAGTGCCAGCTGCGGTCACTACCGCAAGTCCGGCCTCCCACCCGGCTCAACACCGCCTCCTGGCTACCCTCCACTTTCCCCCATGTATCTCCCATGTCTCTCCCATGTCCCTTCCCTCCCTGTCTACTCCCTAAACGAAACATTTGCTTGTGTGACCGTCCGCCTCCACCGGCAGGGGCGACAAGGCTTGACTCACACCTTCTGGTTTACATGTGTAATTACTGCTCACTAATTGTTACGGAGAAAACAAATTAGGAGCATTTATCTTTGCGATATCTCTACGGCATACCTTGAGTATCAGCAGTTCTGTCCCGCTCGTTCATGACGCCCCGGGCAGTGTCGGACGCCCCGGGCAGTGTCGGACGCCCCGGGCAGTGTCGGACGCCCCGGGCAGTGTCGGACGCCCCGGGCAGTGTCGGACGCCCCGGGCAGTGTCGGACGCCCCGGGCAGTGTCGGACGCCCCGGGCAGTGTCGGACGCCCCGGGCAGTGTCGGACGACCCGGGCAGTGTCGACGCCCCGGGCAGTGTCGGACGCCCCGGGCAGTGTCGGACGCCCCGGGCAGTGTCGGACGCCCCGGGCAGTGTCGGACGCCCCGGGCAGTGTCGGACGCCCCGGGCAGTGTCGACGCCCCGGGCAGTGTCGGACGCCCCGGGCAGTGTCGGACGACCCGGGCAGTGTCGGACGACCCGGGCAGTGTCGGACGACCCGGCAGTGTCGGACGACCCGGGCAGTGTCGGACGCCCCGGGCAGTGTCGGACGCCCCCGGGCAGTGTCGGACGCCCCGGCAGTGTCGGACGCCCCGGGCAGTGTCGGACGACCCGGGCAGTGTCGGACGCCCCGGGCAGTGTCGGACGCCCCGGGCAGTGTCGGACCGCCCCGGGCAGTGTCGGACGACCCGGGCAGTGTCGGACGACCCGGGCAGTGTCGGACGCCCCGGGCAGTGTCGGACGACCCCGGGCAGTGTCGGACGACCCGGGCAGTGTCGGACGCCCCGGGCAGTGTCGGACGCCCCGGGCAGTGTCGGACGCCCCGGGCAGTGTCGGACGCCCCGGGCAGTGTCGGACGCCCCGGGCAGTGTCGGACGCCCCCGGACAGTGTCGGACGCCCCGGGCAGTGTCGGACGCCCCGGGCAGTGTCGGACGCCCCGGGCAGTGTCGGACGCCCCGGACAGTGTCGGACGCCCCGGGCAGTGTCGGACGCCCCGACAGTGTCGGACGCCCCGGGCAGTGTCGGACGCCCCGGGCAGTGTCGGGACGACCGGGCAGTGTCGGACGCCCTGGGCAGTATCGAACGCCCCGGGCATCAATGCTAGACGCTCCGGGGAGTGCCCGACACCCTAGACAGTACCCGATGCCCCGGCCAACAATGCCTCAGATCCTAATCACTGTTCTGAATGCGACGAATCCTTACTAACTGCTCGCTTCTTACCTTGAACCAGAATTACAGACACGGACCACATTAATTACTGGGGAACATACCACGAAGGAGCTTCCCCCCCCCCGGGCAACAAGTAGCAAGGACACAATTACACAACACAGGTTTTCAGGTAAGGCACGAAAGGGGGCGGAATTGTCATCACGGTGAGCGGGTTACCACAACATCAACACCCGTTGCGGCAAGTCACAGTGATTTAGGGGCGGGATGTGGAACTTGCCGGCGTAGAGCGCCGCTCTGACACGCAACATGCTAGGTTTTTGTTTCGTGAGAAGGGGAGGGGGGGGGGGGGAATGTGTAAGGTGCCTCGGGTTGGGCGGGGTCGAGGTTTTGAGGTAGTGTTGTCAGTGGGTAGGGGGCCAGACTGGTGTTGTCAGTGGGTAGGGGGCCAGACTGGTGTTGTCAGTGGTGTAGGGGGCCAGAATGGTGTTGTCAGTGGGTAGGGGGCCAGACTGGTGTTGTCAGTGGGTAGGGGGCCAGACTGGTGTTGTCAGTGGGTAGGGGGCCAGACTGGTGTTGTCAGTGGGTAGGGGGCCAGACCAGTGTTGTCAGTGGGTAGGGGGCCAGACCAGTGTTGTCAGTGGGTAGGGGGCAGACCAGTGTTGTCAGTGGGTAGGGGGCCAGAACAGTGTTGTCAGTGGGTAGGGGGCCAGACCAGTGTTGTCAGTGGGTAGGGGGCCAGACCAGTGTTGTCAGTGGATAGGGGGCCAGACCAGTGTTGTCAGTGGGAAGGGGGCCAGACCGGTGGGTAGGGGGCCAGACCGGTGGGTAGGGGGCCAGACCGGTGGGTAGGGGGCCAGACCGGTGGGAAGGGGGCCAGACCGGTGGGTAGGGGGCCAGACCGGTGGGTAGGGGGCCAGACCGGTGGGTAGTGGGGCCAGACCGGTGGGTAGGGGGCCAGACCGGTGGGTAGGGGGCCAGACCGGTGGGTAGGGGGCCAGACCGGTGGGTAGGGGGCCAACCTACATAAATTGACTTGTAAATAAACACTTTCGTAATATTGGTATATGCCCCAAATGGTATTGGAATATCCTAAATGGTATTGGAATATCCTAAATGGTATTGGAATATCCTAAATGGTATTGGAATATCCTAAATGGTATTGGAATATCCTAAATGGTATTGGAATATCTAAATGGTATTGGAATATCTTAAATGGTATTGGAATATCCTAAATGGTATTGGAATATCCTAAATGGTATTGGAATATCCTAAATGGTATTGGAATATCCTAAATGGTATTGGAATATCCTAAATGGTATTGGAATATCCTAAATGGTATTGGAATATCCTAAATGGTATTGGAATATCCTAAATGATATTGGAATATCCTAAATGGTATTGGAATATCCTAAATGATATTGGAATATCCTAAATGGTATTGGAATATCCTAAATGGTATTGGAATATCCTAAATGGTATTGGAATAACCTAAATAGTATTGGAATATCCTAAATGGTATTGGAATATCCTAAATGGTATTGGAATATCCTAAATAGTATTGGAATATCCTAAATGGCATTGGAATATCCTAAATGGTATGTTAAACACTGAAACAGTCAGTACTACACATCCTAATCTGTCTTAAGCCTAAATAAGCCATCATAGGCCTAAATACATGTTATGTTAAGCCTAATTTAGCAGGTGTAATGCTACACCTACAAAAGTTTAGGTTAGGTTAGGTTAGGTTAGGTTAGGTTAGGTTAGGTTAGGTTAGGTTAAGTTAGGTTAGGTTAGGTTAGGTTAGGTTAAGTTAGGTTAGGTTAGGTTAGGTTAGGTTAGGTTAAGTTAGGTTAGGTTTGTTTGTTGCCCTCTTTTTCCTGCCTTCTACAAAAATGTAAACTTTAGTACAAAACGCGTTTTTTTTTTGGTTTACATTGCAACAGTTCATTCTTTTCACGTTGCAACGCAAGTTGGTGTGAGAAGTGGCACTCTTGCATGACAGGTTGCAGGAATGGGGACGAAAGGTGTTTGTGTGATTGCAGACGCTCCCAGTACTTGCCTAATTATGCTTGCGGGGGGGGGGGGGGGGGTTGAGCTCTGGCTCTTTGGTCCCGCCTCTCAACTGTCAATCAACTGGTGTACGGGTTCATGAGGCTACTGGGCTCTATCATATCTACATTTGGAACTGTGTATGGAGTCAGCCTCCACCACATCACTGCCTTCCTCACCATAGCCAGTGTTGTATGTGTGGGAGCCACAGTGTCAGTACTCAGTGTAGCAGGACGGGAACACACAGTGTAGCACACAGACAGTATAAGAGGGAGACAGAGTATCCCCTCTATCCCCTTAGAGGGAGACAGTATATTAGAGGGATTATGTAGCAAGGAGTTTTACGGGCTTACAATAGCCCGTGCTACTTGCCCCGCTCCTGTGCCAGGTAAGTCCACTACGGGCTCACCATAGCCCGTGCTACTTGCCCCGCTCCTGTGCCAGGTAAGTCCACTACGGGCTCACCATAGCCCGTGCTACTTGACCATAGCCCGTGCTACTTGCCCCGCTCCTGTGCCAGGTAAGTCCACTACAGGCTCACCATAGCCCGTGCTACTTGCCCCGCTCCTGTGCCAGATAAGTCCACTACGGGCTCACCATAGCCCGTGCTACTTGGAAATTTGTTCCAAGTAACTGAATCTATAACAACAACAACAGCAAGGAGAGAGACACGAAGACAAGAGAGAGGGAAGAGAGGTAGGGGGGGGGGGGAGGAGGAAAGAGCACCCGTAGCGTCCTTGGCTGCGGTGCTGTGCGGCGGCAAGTCGCCTGCGGCAACTGCGGGAAGCGGGTAATTGAGTTAAACAGCCCACGTGCGGTGCCACCTCTCCGGAAAATTGCACTCCAGTCCGTCCCCCATAAGAACCCCTTCCTTGTAACACCGAGCCATCACCGGCCCAAGGAAGACCCGTATACACGCTAACAAACTCGTATGTACCCTGGGGAGTCGGGGGAAAGAAGTAGCTGTTAGGGAGAAAATGTTTCAGTTTGGCGAAGTAATTGTGTGGGGGAAGAAATTAAAAGGTTTGGGGTGGGCGGGAGTGGGCGGGAGTGGGCGGGAGTGGACGGGGGTGGGCGGGGGGTTAAAGGAAGCGAGGTGAGGAACCTTCTCCCCCCTGACAAGACAGCGCACGCTCGGCACAAGTCGGACATTAAGATGATTGTGCTGAGGTTATCAAATCACCGGACCAGCGACGGAAGTTACTAAATTGGACGCTCGCGCTGAGAGAGAAGAGAGAGAGAGAGAGAGAGAGAGAGAGAGAGAGAGAGAGAGAGAGAGAGAGAGAGAGAGAGAGAGAGAGAGAGAGAGAGAGAGAGAGAGAGAGAGAGAGAGAGAGAGAGAGAGAGAGAGAAGAGAGAAGAGAGAAGAGAGAAGAGAGGAGAGAGAGAGAGAGAGCTCACGACAGCTCCTCATGCAGCGACAAGACAAGACGACAGCTGAGGTGAGATAACAGGACAAGAGAGAAAGCAGTCAGCAGAAAGGATAACAGGTGTGGTAGAGGAAGAGCAACAGGTGTGGTAGAGGAGAAGCAACAGGTGTGGAGGAAGAGCAACAGGTGTGGTGGAGGAAGACCAACAGGTGTGGTGGAGGAAGACCAACAGGTGTGGTGGAGGAGGAGCAACAGGTGTGGAGGAAGACCAACAGGTGTGGTGGAAGACCAACAGGTGTGGAGGAAGACCAGCAGGTGTGGAGGAAGACCAACAGGTGTGGAGGAGGACCAACAGGTGTGGAGGAGAACCAACAGGTGTGGAGGAAGACCAACAGGTGTGGAGGATGACCAACAGGTGTGGAGGAAGACCAACAGGTGTGGAGGAGGAGCAACAGGTGTGGAGGAAGACCAACAGGTGTGGAGGAGGAAGAGCAACAGGTGTGGAGGAGGACCAACAGGTGTGGAGGAAGACCAACAGGTGTGGAGGAGGAGCAACAGGTGTGGAGGAAGACCAGCAGGTGTGGAGGAAGACCAACAGGTGTGGAGGAAGACCAGCAGGTGTGGAGGAACAACTGGCATGAAGGGTAACTAAGCCATAAGCACTAGTGGGTTACTAAGCTAAGTTCTAAGGGTTACTAAACTCAAGTGGGTTACTAAGCTCTAGGAGTTACTAAGCTCTAGGAGTTACTAAACTCAAGTGGGTTACTAAGCTCTAGGAGTTACTAAGCTCTAGGAGTTACTAAACTCAAGTGGGTTACTAAGCTCTAGGAGTTACTAAGCTCTAGGAGTTACTAAGCTCTAGGAGTTACTAAACTCAAGTGGGTTACTAAGCTCTAGGAGTTACTAAGCTCTAGGAGTTACTAAACTCAAGTGGGTTACTAAGCTCTAGGAATTACTAAGCTCTAGGAGTTACTAAGCTCTAGGAGTTACTAAGCTCTAGGAGTTACTAAGCTCCAGGAGTTACTAAGCTCTAGGAGTTACTAAGCTCTAGGAGTTACTAAGCTCTAGGAGTTACTAAACTCAAGTGGGTTACTAAGCTCTAGGAGTTACTAAGCTCTAGGAGTTACTAAGCTCTAGGAGTTACTAAGCTCTAGGAGTTACTAAACTCTAGGAGTTACTAAGCTCTAGGAGTTACTAAACACAAGTGGGTTACTAAGCTCTAGGAGTTACTAAGCTCTAGGAGTTACTAAACTCAAGTGGGTTACTAAGCTCTAGGAGTTACTAAGCTCTAGGAGTTACTAAGCTCTAGGAGTTACTAAACTCAAGTGGGTTACTAAGCTCTAGGAGTTACTAAGCTTTAGGGGCTACTAAGCTTTAAGGGCTACTAAGCTTTAAGGGCTACTAAGCTTTAGGGGCTACTAAGCTTTAAGGGCTACTAAGCTTTAAGGGCTACTAAGCTTTAAGGGCTACTAAGCTTTAAGGGCTACTAAGCTTTAAGGGCTACTAAGCTTTAAGG